CCAGCGGGTGTTTGTTTAGGACAGATCCAGTTATACTCTAGCGCTGTTCTGTTCGCACGCTCATCCTCTGCTCTGTCCTAGAGATTCGGCCGTTGTCTCAATGTCACCATACGAGTCACATCCAGTTTGCAGGGACACAGACGGAGCCTGACAGCTCCCACCTCTGACGTCCAGCTACTGTAGCCTGCCTGCTCAAGCGGAACAATGCGTGCAGAGCTCTAAAACGGTGACACTTGGACGCCGTCGACCGTTTGAGGCAGCGACAATGGTGACATCACGGCACTACCAGGCATCCGAGACGCTTTGTTGGCTGCAAAACTGAAAAGGATTGGGCACGTTCGATCGCTTGCCCAACTCGAGTCTGTTGAGATGAGCTCACCTAATCCGCCACCGCGGGCTCAAAGACTGTTTTATCTGCTGCCGCTGAAAAGGTGCGAGGAGCGGAGCGAGAAAAATCGATTCTCAGAGGTCACAGGTCTAGCGGTCTGCTAGCTGCCGCCGGGCAAAGCTCCGGGAACGTGGGCGGAGGCGGAGCACATCTTCCCATTCCGAGTAACGGCAGACCATCCGCATCAGACACTGAAAAAAAAGTTCACGAAGGTTTTCCTTGCTTTGGCTTTGCCAAAATCAAGACAAACGCAGAACGTATACAAGCCTAAGTCACAGCCAGTGCATTAGAAGATCGTAGTTAGTTTTTACTTTGCTTCTGGATTTCGTCCATCTTGTAGTGCAATAGTGCCGGGTTTGTTTTCGGATAATTGCTAATGACTTCGTAAAGCAGCATTATTCAAGCATTCATTATGACCTCATTGCACGTGCAGTTCTGGCAGCTACCTTCGTCATACGGCGGCCGCGCGACTAGCGTCTCCCGTCAGTTCTGAAATTGAATTCCCCGCCGACGTGCGCGTGCGCAATATCCGCCATCATCGTTTTTTGTCCTTTCGCTTCGCGGTCGCCGTGCGAGGTGCACGTGGGTTGGTGAGCAGGCTGGCGTTTGGCAATTTATAACAGGTACCTATACACGGATATCCGAGGCTGCGAGACCGGTGGGAGAACAACTATCAAGGTACGTTCGCTTCATTGCTTGCCCATCATGCGTTTAAGTAATCTGAAGAGACCTGTCTTGACCAGTCACAAGACGAGGCCCCGATACACTGCCGGATTCAGCCACGAATTTGTCGCCGAGGCCCGAATCACATCGCAGCAAAATTCGGTGATAAGATCGCCATGCCTCCCCTTAGCTTCGTCTCATCCTCCGCCCCCTTTCAGCGACCAGCGTCCCCCTTTCTCGTTCTCCTCTCTGTCTCCCTTCTCTATCTCCGTCTCCATCTCCATCTCCACCAGCGTCTTTGTCTTCATCACCGTCCTTGTCTCCGTCTCCCTCTCTCTCTCTCTCTCTCTCTCTCTCTCTCTCTCTCTCTCTCTCTCTCTGTCTCTCTCTCTCTCTCTCTCTCTCTCTCTCTCTCTCTCTCTCTCTCTCTCTCTCTCTCTCTCTCTCTCTCTCTCTCTCTCCTCTCTCTCTCTCTCTCTCTCTCTCTCTCCTCTCTCTCTCTCTCTCTCTCTCTCCTCTCTCTCTCTCTCTCTCTCTCTCTCTCTCTCTCTCTCTCTCTCTCTCTCCTCTCTCTCTCTCTCTCTCTCCTCTCCTCTCTCTCTCTCTCTCTCTCTCTCTCTCTCTCTCTCTCTCTCTCTCTCCTCTCTCTCTCTCTCTCTCTCTCTCTCTCTCTCTCTCTCTCTCTCTCTCTCTCTCTCTCTCCTCTCTCTCTCTCTCTCTCTCTCTCTCTCTCTCTCTCTCTCTCTCTCTCTCTCTCTCCTCTCTCTCTCTCTCTCTCTCTCTCTCTCCTCTCTCTCTCTCTCTCTCTCTCTCTCTCTCTCTCTCTCTCTCTCTCTCTCTCTCTCTCTCTCTCTCTCTCTCTCTCTCTCTCTCTCTCTCTCTCTCTGTCTTTCTCTTCTCTTTCTTTATTTAGTTGTGATTTAGCTGTCCTGTCTGTGTCGGCCGTCCCACGTGCCCTTTCCATTTGCAGTTTTCCCTAAATATGTTTAATGCATGTCTCTTTTCAAATTTCAGATAGCGTCCCGAAGGCCATCGCCTGGACATTGGGCGACGCCCTGGATATATTCCTCAACGATGGCGATGGTCCTGGTGCTGTCGTGGCCGGCGGCACTGTCTTCATCGATGGAGTAGAGCCTAGAGGTGGCGGAAGTGACAGCGAAGGACACTCTCCTGGCGTATGGTTCGTGGCCCTCTTCGTCTTCTCTCTCAAATACCCCACGGGCTCTCGGTCCACCTGGCGCTATCTGTCGTATCATGTCTTGGGCGTCGGAAGCGCCCAAAGACAGAGTCAGACAGCGCTTCCACCGCTTCCATGGTGAAGTCATGAAGCACATGCTGTTTCTCGCCGTGAGCGTGGCCCTGAAGGGTGGCGCCGGTGCGGCGGCCCGGTAAAGTACGGGTAGCCGCCGGAGTGGCGTTGTTTGCAGCTAGTCAAGAGACCGCGTTTCTTTCTTCTGGCATACAGCCAGACCGCGTAACATGGAAGGCATGATGTGGAAAACTGGTGTGATAATATTTCCTGTCATTCGTGTGTAATGAGTTCATGGAAAACTACGCTCGGAAATGTTATTTAGCGTTTTTTTTTAATAAATGATCTGGAAATCAAACTTATCTTTTTAAGCTTTGGTTGAGAGGCGCAACGGAATACCGTAGGTACCTATGGGTGGGGGGGGGGGTGAGGGAAGGGGGTTAGTACCAGGCTAGTGAATACCTGGTATTTGGGTTGGTAAGCTCGCTGTATTGACTTGGTACAGATATTGTACATCATAGTATAAACCTTGCACAGACATGATAGTGGGTTAGTTGCAGAATGCGCAACTGTTAGTTGTACCTTTGGTGGCATTGCGAAGTGTATGCTAAGCATTGGTTATTCTATTGTTTTCCAGTTGTTTCCCTTTGGTTCCTGTAATGCCTAGCACTAGTATACGCGTTGTCGTCGCTTGGTTACTGAGTGCTCGCTGGTTTGGGTTGGTTAAATGACAAATATTTTGGAACGCAAAGTTTTCCCTTGACATGACTTCGTTTATTAGGTCGTAGTTAGTCAATATTTTTTTCAGTGGACACCTCAACATCGCAAATGAGCGAGTTCACGACCTCATGCTTGCTCATGCACGTCAAATCAGATCACCGCTTTTACGCGTGAAGGCGGCCTCTAGCACGGCGTCTCACCGCAGCACCGCAAAGAGCGCCAATCAAATCAGGCTGAATGGAGCGAGATTGTGACGCATTAGGGTCGTTACGGGCACCTCTGACCCCGGGCGGTACGGCACGGCTGTTTTCCATTGTCAGACAGTGTAATCCATGTGATAGACGCGCTGAACGACAACCACTGCATGAGAGGCAGAGGAAGTTCATGGGTCACTGCGCGAAAACTAGGAAAGAGAAAGTAGTCGCCCATACTATTTGGCTAGCAAGAGAGAAACGGTTAAACGTTACACAGGCCGACTTTACAGCTTCCACCGTGTGTGCATCAAGGCCTAGCCATAAACGTAGAATAGAAAATGCTGGTAGAAAGCTAGGAGGTCACGCAATTAAGGCTTCATTGCAATCCAATTAGCGAAGTGTCGCGATTCCCCCTCCCCGCCTCGGCTGAGCGGGCCACGTAACTCCATATGCCGTGAGTACCCCTCCCCCTGCCTGACACCTGAGCGGGCCGCCGCGGTCGTCGCATGGAAAGTTACCGGGTGTGTGGACTGTAAAACTGATAATGATTGGCTGTTTTCGACCAATGGTTTGGGCTGTCTGTCTACTTTTATTTGGCAGCAATGTGGAAGCCTGCACTGAACGACCGTTTTTCCAATACAGTTCACTACCAGAGGTCCACCCGTTTGTACCGCCGACCGACCGAATCAGCGTTCGTAACCACCATTAATCACATAAGGTCCTCCGGGCCGGATGGCTGATCCTTTTCAGTCATTTGTTTTTGCTTTTGATTTCGTTTGTGAGAGTCGATACCGTCAAGATTTTGAAGTGCTGTGCTTGTGCGTGATATATCAAGATGGAGGAGGAGCTGAAAATCAGGAGCCGTCTGAGAGGTAAAGCCACCCGTCTGAGTAATGATTTGAGAGAGTACCGAACGTCTCCCAGTGTTGATCAGGATGATCTTGCATATAAGATCCATGTGCTGGAGAAAGTCAGGACTGAGTTGAAGGAGGTACAGGTCATGTTGGATAAAGCAGAGCTGTTTGACGATTCCAACCACGATGATGTCATGTCTGAGGAGCTGTTCAAAGCTTCACGTCTGCTCAGTCGCCTCGAATCTGCCTCAGATAACCCCAGCCCGGCAGATAGGGGTTTTGATGACCAGCAGTTCGACCTGCGCTCGTCGTTGGTGGTCAAGCTGCCTACCTTCGAAGGCGACCTGCTGAAGTGGGCGGAGTTTTGGGAGCTGTTTAAGGTGTCCGTCCACTCCAACAAAAGGTATGCTGACGTGCAAAAGTTTGTACTGCTTAAGTCTCTGCTGGGAAACGTGCCGAAACAGGTCATAGAGGGTATACCCGTGTCGGAAGAGGGATATCGTGCGGCTGTGGATGTTTTGATACGTCGTTATGCCAGAGATGATGTGAGGCGGGACATGCTGTTGAAGCAGCTCCTTGAGCTGCCTGGTGTGTCCAAACATGATGACTTGAACGCTCTGCACCGCCTGATTGACCAACTGACCGCTCGTGTACGAGGCCTGGAGGCTCTCGGGGTGACTTCTGACACTTTCTCCAGCATCCTCTTGCCAGTGGTCAAGGAGAAGCTGCCGGAAGCGTGGCGCCTCGAGTGGGCGCGCGCTCAGACGGCATCGGCGGCGGACTTCAGCGCCTTTCTCGACTTTCTGCAGCGGGAGATGGAGGTCCGCGAGCAGGCTGCAGCAGGACCAGCCAAGACGGCAGCTGATTCACCCAGACCCTCCGGCTACACTGCGGTGAGTGGCCTGGCAGCCAGCCGGGATGTCCCCGGCGAGAGCGCAGGGTCTGAAAGCCACCAGATCAGCAGCGCGCGCCGGTGATTGGTTGTGTGTGGCCTGTGGGAGAGCTAAGCATGGCCTTGCTTCCTGTCATGCGTACCGAGCTCAAGATGTTGACACCCGTTGGGAGATCGTTAGAGCTGCCGGTGTGTGTTACCGCTGTTTGGGTCCTCACTTCGCTCGTGACTGCCGGAGCTCGGACTGTCCACGGTGTGGTGGCCCTCACCACTCCAGCCTTCACAGCTTCAGCACCACTGAGGTGCCCCCGCGACCAGCAGCTCAGTTCGTCGGCCGAGCCGAGCCGTCTCCAGGAGCTGACGGACGGCTAAGACCGCCACCTGCAGACCGCCGAGGTGGCCACCAGCCAGCGCACCCAGCACCACCACCACCACCTGTCGGTCAGCAGTCACAGCGCACAGGTTGGTCACCCACCGCTTCCCGCCAAATCGTTGCGACTGCTCAGTCCGGGACTGACGCACTCGTAGGACATGACTCTGTACAAGCGAACGAGCCTGGACGTGTTGGACACGCTATCCCTCCATGTGCGTCTGCAAATGTGGTGCTCGCCACCTCTGCCACCCAGTCGCCTGCCGATGCTGATGTGATGACCGACGCCCTCTGTCTGCCTGATGACCAGGAGACTCAGACAGCTACCGACCGTCCTGACGCCAGTGGAGGTGTCTGCTTCACCCAGACTGCGCTGGTGGAGGTGACTGGACCCCGCGGCACCTGCATGCTCAGGGTTCTGATAGACGGAGGCTCAGACTCGTCCTACATCCGTACCTCGGCCGCTGATCTGCTCGGTCTTCCCACGGTGGGGAGCGGCACCTTCGCCTGCATGGGCTTCCAAGAGCGCGGTGAGGAGCCCCGAGTCTACGAAAAGGTGAGGGTGGCTATGAGGAGTCGTCACGGTGGGGAGGAGCACCTGTTCGACCTGTGGAAAACCGACCGTCTGTGCTCACTGCCAACCCCTGCCCGACCACCTGCCGTGACCTATCAACCGCACCTCCTGCTCGCCGATGACTACCACGGTGGACCTGTGGATATTCTGATCGGTGTTGACCAGATGTATAAGGTGCTGATGTGGAAGCAGATCCCACTGACTGACCGCCTGCGGGCTGTGGAGACCGTATTTGGGTACGTTCTTCATGGCAGAGACGATGCACCAGTCGCCCCTCCCGCAGCGAAGTACGTGCTCCGCTGCAGTCGTCTCCAGATCGACTGCAACAGGCTCTGGAGTATGGAGGCTCTGGGGATTCAAGTTGAAGATGAAGAGCGGAAGCAGCCACCGGAACCGACGTGGAACTCGAAGGAGAACAGGTACGAGATGGGCCTGTTGTGGGCGTCCGACGAGCGTCCCATCACCAACCTCACGTCCACAGCGGCACGCACCGGGCGCATGGAGCAGCGCCTGGCACCAGCCCAGCGCCGGGAGTACAGCGAGCACCTGACCGAGCTGCAGCGAGTCGGCGTGATCGAGACGCCGCCAGACGACGACCGCAGCGGCTTCTACCTACCACACAGAGGCATCTGGCGTAATGGGAAGCTGAGAGTTGTGTACGACGGTTCTGCCAGGGACGCAGCCGGGCGCAGTCTCAACTCCTACCTCGACGCCGGGGAGAACCTGCTGCGCCGCCTGCCAGTGGTGTTGCTGAACTTCAGGCGGGACGTGGTGGCGGCACAGGCTGACATCAGATCGGCCTTTCACCAGGTCTCCGTCTCCGAGGTGGACAGGAAGTATCTGCAGTTTCTGTGGGCCGACCAGCGCCTGCGCTTCAGACGCGTTCCGTTCGGACTCACCTGTTCTCCTTACATGTTACTGCAGACGATCACCACCCACCTGGCCCAGTACCGTACCACAGATCCGCTGCTTTGTGCGAAGCTGAAGCAGGACTGTATATGGACGATGTGTGCATCTCTTTCGCCTGCAGGGACGAAGCTGACTCGAGCATGAAGAGGACGGCAGAAATCTTCTCGGATGCCGGGATGGACGTCCACAAGCTGCGCATCTCCGGAGACGACACCGGTGCGGCAGCTCCAGTCCTGGGCCTGCGATGGTGCACCAGCTCCGATCGCCTCGCCGTGCGTGTGCCTGCTCTGCCAGTCATCACCACCAAGCGCCAGCTGCTATCGACTCTGTGTAAGCCGTTTGACCCACTTGGCGTGCTGTCACCGTGGCTGGTTACCGGCAGAGCTCTGTTTCAGAAGACCTGGACGCAGCAGCCTCCCTTGGCTGGGACGAGGAGCTGAGCCCTGACCTGAGAAAGGAGCTGACCGCCTGGTGTGTAGGGGCCGATGACCTTGATGTGTGGTTTCCTCGCACTGTGAAGATATCTGCTGACGTGACATATCACGTGTTCTGCGACGCCTCGAAGCTGGCGTACTGCTGTGCCATCTATGCCGTGTGTGACGGTGATGTCCGTTTGTTGATCGCCAAGTCTCGTCTCGCACCTGCAAGCCCCTGCCCTCAGCGTGCCGCGCCTGGAGCTGATGGCGGCTCTCATCGGCTGTCGTCTCATGGACCTCGTCAGAAGTGCGCTGGACCTCACCGAGCCAAGAGTCGTCTACTGGACGGACGCCATGGATGTGCTCTTCTGGTTGGATCAGCGCCGCACCATGAAGGTATTCGTCCAGAACCGCGTGACCTCCATCCTTCAGTTGACTAGCCGAGACCAGTGGCGTCATGTTCGTGGGCAAGATAACCCGGCGGACCTCGGGACGCGCGGCCTGTCCCTGTCCGAGTTGACTGTGTGTGATGTTTGGTGGCGCGGACCCGACTTCCTCAGGTCTGCGTCTGCTGGACCGCCGCTGCAGCTGCCTGCTGTAGACACCGATCTGCAGCCGTCTTCGGATGCAACCGTGGAGCTGAAACGGGAAAGAGTCGACAAGAAGGTGAGCCTGCTAGCAAGACAGTGTGAGGAGAATGTACCATTCGACGTGACGACCTGCTCTCGTCTCTCACAGGCTGTTGACCGACTGGCGTGGATGCGCCGGTTTGTCTACAACTGTCGCCTGCCGACGCGGGAGCGGATGACCGGACCACTCACACCCGAGGAGAGGAAAAGGAGTCTGAGCTATTGGATCAGAGCTGCTCAGCACCGTACGTACCAGAGAGAGATTGATGCTGTGCGCACTGACCAGTTGCTTCCAACAGGATCACCCCTGGCGAAGCTTCACCCGCAGCTGGATGACGATGGAGTGCTGGAGGCGACTCTCAGGACTGGCGAGCGGCCGGTGCCGATCCTGCCTGACCTCAGCCACATCACGACTCTGATCGTCGACGAAGCGCATCGTAGATGCTTTCATCAGGGAACGCGCGTCACTCTGGCTGTGCTCACAGCCGAGTATGCGGTGAGACGACGGACTGTCCGCCGCGCTGTCGATTCATGCCGCCGATGTAGGCGATACCGTGGTTTACCCTACAGATCGCCAGAGGGCGCTCTGCCGAGCTTCCGGACCCAGCCAGCACGCCCATTCGCCAAGGTCGGCGTGGATTACTTCGGCCCGCTGTTTGTCGACAACAGCGCCACCAAGGTATGGGCGTTGCTCGTTACCTGTGCCACCTCTCGTGCCGTGCACCTTGAGCTGGTTCGTTCCCAGGCGACTGCCGATCTCGTTCTGGCGCTGAGGAGATTCTTCGCGCTTCGAGGAACGCCAGCCGTCGTCTACAGCGACAACGCCAGAACCTTCCGTGCACTGTTAGGTCATCTGCCAAGGTGCGTTACGTGGCGCTTCATCCCGGAGGCCGCTCCCTGGTGGGGCGGGTTCTGGGAGAGAATGGTGGGCGTAACCAAGAAGGCCCTGCGAGTCACTCTGCATTTGTGCCACCTGACTTTCGATGAACTGTCTGCAAACTCTACGAGCTCTCATTTTTTCAATCTGCGTCCACTCACCCTGGGTGATGGGGAAGACCTACTGACCCCTGCCCACCTACTGTTCGGGGTAACCACCATAGACGGTGTTCTGTGCCCGACGCTGAAAGAGTCCTCTATCAGCAGGGCCTGGCGGCACCAGAAACGGATGTGTAACCAGCTGACCCGGCGTTGGTGCGCCGAGTATCTCAGCGCCCTGCGCTGCTGGAGCACGTCACCTCGCGGTCGGCCGAATCGCACGCCTCACGTCGGTGACGTCGTCCTCGTGCACGGCGAGGGACCGCGCGGCCGGTGGCCGGCAGCTCGGGTGGAGAGACTGCTGGCCGGGCCGGACGGCCACGCGAGAGCCGCCGTCATCCACTTGCGTGGGCGGATGACGCGCCGCCCGATCAGCCGGCTTTTCTTGCTGGAGGCGGCAGCCTGAGCCGCACCTGTGTGATATCTGTCGCCGCGAAGTGCTGCTCTGATCTATGTGCGTCGCGTTTAGTTTCTTTGTGATGTCTGATGCGCTAGACGTTTGGTTTTCGAAATCTATCTCGATTTCGAGTGGGGAGTATGTCGCGATTCCCCCTCCCCGCCTCGGCTGAGCGGGCCACGTAACTCCATATGCCGTGAGTACCCCTCCCCCTGCCTGACACCTGAGCGGGCCGCCGCGGTCGTCGCATGGAAAGTTACCGGGTGTGTGGACTGTAAAACTGATAATGATTGGCTGTTTTCGACCAATGGTTTGGGCTGTCTGTCTACTTTTATTTGGCAGCAATGTGGAAGCCTGCACTGAACGACCGTTTTTTCCAATACAGTTCACTACCAGAGGTCCACCCGTTTGTACCGCCGACCGACCGAATCAGCGTTCGTAACCACCATTAATCACACGAAGTGTTTTCGTAGGTAGCTAGCGCAGTCTTGCCCCTTTCGCCGCAATGAGCTGTTATACCAGCTGAACTTGACTGATAGAGTGATTGGAAGGGCCTAGAGCCATTTTTTCCTTAAGAGTTCATTGCGCTGTTTCATTTTGAACACAGGAGCAGCAAAACATAAATTCTTTGTTGCTGCACCAAGTCAATAGAGTGAATAGAAGCCCCTGAGCTCGTGCTGGCCACTTCAGCAGTCTGCAGCAAAAACCGACCGCTGGAGCTCGAACGTCAACATGGGACGCGATCAAACAAAATAAACGAACGGCAAAAGGCAGCACCAGGCTGAGACGTCAGACAGGTAAAAAGGACCAAATCCAAGGCTAAGCTCGGCAAAAAGACTTCAGGTAGGTCATCGAAACAGCGATTTAAATTAGAAATCACTTGGTTGGATGATTCGCTGTTCAGCTTTTTAACGTCATATGAAGGTCACATAAAAACTAAATAAAAAGATATCGAATGAAAATTATTATCAAACGCTTCTGACCTCTGTGTACCGGTCTATGTACCTGCATTGGAATACAGAGGGCACGCAACAACAAATAATATAAGTACAAATTCATTAAGATAGCTTTAACTTGCACAATAAAATAAAAAGCAGTTACCAAGAAGAACAAAAAATATCGTCGACACGGTACAAAGTCACTAGCAGCGTAGGTTTGCTGATCGAACCTGCAATGACACAGCTGCCGGCCGGTCCAGTGACAAAGCCGTCTGTTCAGAAAGTCATGAGCTGCTCTGCTGCCATCCACCGCGGTCGTCGCTGGTGGCTGGATATGGCGCGACCCGGCCCGACCCACCGGCTGGACCACATTCCAATGGAAGAGGGAAGACTGGCCGTGTACGGTCAGCGAATGGTAGCATCACTGATCGCTGACTATTGAACAACAACAATGTTGATGTGGTGTATGTCTAAATAAATGAATACATAAATAAAATAAGTAAATAAGTAAGTTAACCACTGGCGATTAACCATTAAACACGAACCAAGATTACGGACCAATGACCGTTCAACGGTCACAGATGACCAATGACAATGACCAATGACAAATGACTACCACTAGTGACCACTGACGTTAATTAGCTGATAACACGCGACCAACAGGTGACCGGTCAGATCCATGACCGTCCCGTGGAAACCGGACACCACCTGGGCACGGGACAGCTTATCGTTAATTGGGCGACACGGTTCAATGATACGATCCGGTGTTCGGTGGCAAGAGTGCATGGGCACTGACAGAGGTCGAGAAAAGGTGGCCCCGAGGTGACCTCTACTGCTTAGGGATGGGGTGACCCTGGGTGAACTCTGGCTGCTGCAGAGGGGTAAGTGACCCCGGGATGACCTCTGCTGCTTGGGTGGCAGCCTGAGTGTTTCTGGGTCACTAGAGGTCACTTCAATAACCACTGCAACGCGAGCTCATCAAGCAGAGATGATTGTCAAAATGCCAGAGTAACCGCAACCATGCATGCAATTGAGACAGGCGAGACTGAGAGCAGTTATATCTCTCGGACAGTATAATCATCTTCCAGGTGCTCATTTAGACAGCGACTGGTTACACTTGTGAACTGTAGAAGCTATGTGGGACAACTGTATCTTCGTTCGAATCCGCCCTTACGACTTCAGAGACACTTCGGTGTGATAAATGAACTTCTTGGGGTTCAACATGCACTCGCCACTTATGCCGTCTGCTGCGACATTCGAGCCCTAAACTATGCACAGTCGTGCACCAGCGCACCACCTATCACCAGTCATGCAGGACGTTCTACTGACCGTGCACCAGCTCACAGTCGTGCTGGGACCGTGCTGGGACCGTGCTGGGACTTTGCTCTCGAGCCGTGCACTTAGGCCGTGCACGCCGCCCGCTCCCCTTTCAGTCTGTTAACTGTGCCGTGTGAACCTGTCAAGTCGCACCTTGTCGCTCTCGGAATGCCTCTCTCCTTCCCGCTTATACTGTTAGATCCTCTCCGTCTCGGTCTTGTTTTGTCCCATCCCGTCCGTCCCGTCCCGTTCACAGGCAGATCCAGAGAGCAGCCGATATCGCGGGCCAGCCGGTGGACTGACACCTCCATCAGCCGCGGCGCTAATCCGGCGAGGAGCCTGCGATCGCGGAGCGGCCGGCGAGGCACGCACGCCGCACGAATTTCAATGGCCCTCGGACACCCTCGCCGCCTCCTCTGCTGTCGGACGGCTCCCGCAGAGCCACTGACCAGGAATCCGGTGCCACCACAGAGTGAGCTGCGGGGAGCGAGTCGAGAGGACGCCGAGCGGGTATACCTGCTAACGAGCCTGCCGGGCCCGCGCACCGAGCGGCGAAACGGCGCCGGTTACCAACGGCACGCCCGCGGGCGCAGGAGACCGAGGTAACGAGCGCGCTGACGCAGCGAGGCAGGTCTGCGCGGGGGGCCGGGCACTGGCCATAACCAGCTCCTGACGGATCGCGTACCCGCGGGGAGCCATCAGCGGCGGCGATGGGCGTCAGACGTTGGCGGAGCGTCTGTTGGATACCTGACGGAGTGTCTGAGACCTGGCGAGCTCGGTGCAGTCGGTGGAGATAGCAACAGACGCTGGTCGGGGCCGGCGCGAGCGGAAGACAGCATCGAGCGGCAGGCGGCGAGCGGCGGCGGACCCCCCATGGCGCCCTACAACCGGCCGGCGCCGCGCAGCCCGCATGGCCGCCGCTCCGGGTGGGCCGCGCTCTCTCAGACCGGCCACGGGCGCACCGGAGGCCTGCACGTGGTAACCAATTACTGCGCCGTTTTCCCTAATTTACAGCTGCCGGACCAGCACCTCCGGCCGGCGGGATCCCGCAGTCAAACAAACAATGGACGGCGCTCTGACGGCCCCGTTTCTGGGGCAGCGGCGTGCTAATCAAGCCCCAGACGCATTCCATGGCGAGAACTGGGGAGAGCCGACGCCGCCGCCCCCGGGGCGCTCGGGGCCGCTCGGGCGCATAAAGACGCCCCCAGCGGGGCGCCGACCCGCCGAGGAAGCGACGGGGAGACGGCGGAACATCGGGACAGGGGCGCAGGATGTCAGGTATGGTTTACTCACCCACATTCCGGCGTTGAGCAGGCAAAACGTGTGTCTGACGCAGCCGTAACCGCTGCCGATAGACCTCCGTGGTCTGTGGCTGAAAACGGACCGGTGGCACGGTTAGCACAGGTAACACTGCATTAGAGACTACTGTGAGTGCTGTGTAGAGATGAATGGGAGAGGAGCGGGACGAATCGACGTTTTAAATGAGGGAAGGCCTGGAAAAGAACCAAGTAGGAAGAAGAAACGGAAGTGAACATTATTGTGGAGACACATAAGGGAGCGGGGAAGACAAAAGGTGGTCGGTGCAAAGAAGTCGGTGAACGTCTATGAAACACATTAGCCGTTTTCACGACGGGCTATCCGGCGAGTGCTCCTAATTTGACCAAATCTGCACCTAATCTCTTTTACAGCAAATATCCTGATTTTATGAATTTATTTCAGTGTTTTAATCGATGATACTCTCTGATAATATGATAAAGCATGCATATAAGCAATTAGTGCAACCCTAACTGATAGCTACAAAGAGACACACTGAACCTAATTTGACCAAAGCTTCACCTAATCTGCACCATATGTGCACCAAGTGTGTACCAGATGGCCATCGTGAAAACGGCTAATATCTAACTAAATGAAAAACGTTTAAGTGAAAATCAATCTAACAATTTCATTGAAAAATGGCTATCGGGATGCATGCACACTTCAAATTGTCTGATGTAATATTTAGGCAGGCAGTACCTACAGGCAGTCTAAAACTTGTTTGATCACTAGAGCTTAGGTAGATGGGCAGTAAGGGGTATGCCAGGATATAAGGAAAAACAACTCAACCATACATGGCATGTTTGTCGAAGATCTGATATACCTACCATAGTTACGAACGGTGCTCCAGGCCAAGCATTGGCCGTTTATAGAGGCACTCCGTTTATCCAGTGTTTCGCGAGGACAAGTAAAAATGCCGTTATGCTAGAAACACGTGTTAGTTGGCGGTATTACTTGAGGAAACTGGGCGTCGAAAAGCACGCCTATAAATTATGCTGTTATCGCGTGTGGCCGCTCGCGAAAATCGGGTGTGCATCAGTAGCCTGTCAGAAAGTTGGGCTGCGATTAAGATTAATTGTCCACGTCTGTGCTACTATCTACGCAACGCACGTTTGGGCAGATAACTTGCAAGGTAGCGCAGATTTTCGCAACGCAAGAGCAAAGATAAGCGATGGATAGACGATATAAAATGCGAGGTCGCTAAGAATGCACGTCATTAAAAAGGTCTGCTTAATGGTTCAATATATTGATTGTCGAACAATGTGACAGCGTTTGAAACGATCTACGCTGGCTATACCTAAGGCATTATGCATTGGCAAGGCACATGGAGAGACAGTTTTAGAATGTTAATTTAAGTATGAAAGTTGTACAAAAGTGTCATCGCGTGTGCTAGAACTTCTTCGCGTTAGATACTGACATTGGCGACTGATTTCCAAACATTGCAAAAGTTATATACATTCTATAATTGCATGCCTGACTGTCGTCATTCGCATGGAAGTGCAGATAATCAGAGGCTGAACATGCGCTGGGTGATGTAGGTAAACGGCTGTCAACGGTAAAGGGTAAACGGTGAGCCTCCAGCCGAATCAAGTAAGGAAAACTGAGGAAGGCCGTTCAAAGTTAGGGTAATACACAGGATTAATAAGCGGTTGCATGGCCGCATCCAAATAATTTATAAGCTTCAGCCAAGGCCGTTGTTAAATAGTCATAGTGAGTGTCAACGCCGCTCTGTAAGATATCTTACTGCGAGGTCAATGCGACATATCTCATTGAATTGAGGTTCTCTTTATAGTTATTTCAATTGCTATTTAAAGTTTC